CCCATTTACACTCTCTCCTTACTGCATCGAGGTGTTTTTTCTCAATTGACCTTATGTATATCGATGCATGCTCTCGACGGCCGGGGACATCGGGAGTGTTCTCGACTATAAAGTCCTTTTTCAAAGAAAAATTGTTCGGTACGATCTCATGAAGCACCGGCGGTTTACCACCGGCCGAACGAGAAGAAGAAGTGGAGGTTCCTTCTTTCTGAGGAACGGACTTGGAAGTTTTTGCCATCGATTCTTTAGAAAAAGAAGGAAGAAATGAATAAACTGGTGAGGTTTGAGCTAATAAACTGGTGCGGTTTACCACCGACCAGACGGGAAGTAGAAGTGGAGGTTCCTTCTTTCTGAGGAACGAACTTGGAAGTTTTTCCCATCGGTTTTTTAGAAAAAGAAGGAAGAAATGAATAAATTGGTGAGGTTTTGAGCTACTACAGCGGAGGAACCAGCGGTAAAAATGAAACGCATAGAGGAAAATAGGTGTTGCAAGGTGGAAAAGTTCTTAATGAAAGAGAAAACAAGATATAAAGGGGAAGGCGGCGACGGTTCATTAATATTGATGGTCGACCAGCTCTGACGTGCATTTAATGCTTTTGTGGACAAGAACCGATGGGACGCTTCGATCATTTCAACGCTTACATCATAAGAGTGATGCCATCATAAAGGACTTCGGGAATTTAGATCGTTTCATATCATTTTATTCTAAGAAACGCGGGGAGTATCTGTATATGGTCTAAATTGGAGAGTTCGATTTCGAAGACTTGATCATACCCGGAGCTCGAGTTCGGAAGTAAGAATCGAGCCCGACTGGGATGTGCACACCTCGAGAAACAAATCGGAGACCCGCCATGACTTGCCTCGAGGACAGTACAATTTCGATGACACTCAAGAAAGAGTGGGAATTTATCAAGAACACGTGAATCAGGGCTTCAATTATGGGATAAGATTTGTACGAAATAGTACGAGTCCGTATTAGGTTGTTATACAGTTGTACCAATAGAATTCTTTACCATAATTGGGAATGTACTGTCGCGCCCCCTTTTTCCTCGTGGAGTTCGGGTTTCGACATTCTTTGGGACAACTCATTTTCCTTTTGGGAATTCGGTGTGGAATTTGAAGAGTCGCCACCTAACAGATTTAAGGTGCATTAGGGTACCTAAGGCAAAAACTCTTATACCGGTTTGCATTACTAGAGATTGGGTAAGCGCTCGAAATAACCTTGAGGGGAATGTGTTAGGCACCCCTCGAGGTCCACAATGGTGGGTCCCGGCCAAACTCAAATTAGGTGAATTAGTCTTATAAGCAAACAAAGCAATTTAGACAAATAGATATTACATTTAAAATAAGGGGTAAAAGGGGTCCTAAGTTTTTTAGCCTATAGGATCACTTCTGTGCAATACTTGGTAATCGTCCCCAAGTTGGGGTGCTACACATAGCATTAGCGCACATGTCATCATATCTGTTACTACAAAAATTACCCTCCCCTTAGTGGTTATATAAGCGATTCTAATTAAACGTACTCTATGCGTGCATTACCCGTCCCTTACTTATGGTCCTGGAGGTGTTTAGGAGTTCTAGTTAAGGTGGATCTAGACCCTCCTATAGTGCTTAAAAGGAGAAAATCTAAGCGACAAGCAAAGCAAATAGGACTGTCAGATAAAGGAACAGTTAAAGGCTCACATTTACCTCCACAAATAAGCAGGCAATTGCACGTCTCAAACAACAGTATTTCAGACACTTTAAAAGTCCTATAGCAGGATGTCTAGGTGAGCACAAAGCAGAACATATGCATTTTTTTTTATTAAAGAAGGCAGAAGATACCTAATCAGTTTGTCTACTGATTTTAGGACTGAATCTAGGCAGTTCACAAACAGTTAAACAAAGCACAATTTTATAATTTCAAGATTTAGTTGTCCTACAGGCTTGCCTAGGCGTGGATCAGATATGTTCTATAAACATGATATCTAATCGTTAATCAGAACCACAATAAACCAGTAAACAATTTTAAGCAGACAGTTTGGTTCATTAGGTCCTATAGGCATGCTGTCTAGGTGCTGAAAAATAATCACAAACGTTACAGAACTAATTTTATATATAAGCCTGATATCTAGGTGTTGGGACTGCTTTTATACTTATTTCTTATAGGCATGATTGCTAGTGGAGAAACTGATTTTTATGCGATTTGACTGCGGGTATGACATCTAGGTGAGTGCAATAAAAGTCCTAGAACATGGTTTCTAATGCACATAGGAGAAATTATAAATATGATTGTTAAGGTTGAATTAACAACAACCTAGAGACAGGATTTCTAGCGCGGATATGAACATGCATAAATAGAAATTTAGAGCAAACAATATGATGAACCTATAAGCATGTTTCTAATGCACACAACAACCTATAGGCATGGTTTCTAATGCAGGTAGTTAATCATAACAGTCCTAAGAGAATGATTTCTACCCGATTTCCAACAAAACATATATAAGCATCCCTCCTAGTTTTACTAATAACCCCAATATCTGTTTACAAAGAAATATTATTACAAACCAAATACAAATAAATTACAGAATGAAATCACTATACTATAGGGAGCCTGGATAGACCCAAAAGTAAACCTGAAAGCCAGGCCTTCAACCAAACCTGAAACATGCCAATATTCTCATAGTACACCTAATGATTTTTTGGTGCATCAAAGTTCCCAAGGGCCTTAGGGACCCCGGGCAATGCTCACACCAAAAAGAACCTTTGAAAGAACAGTGTTGTGAGCCCGTTTTAGAAGAGCCAGCCCCAGTGTGTCAGAATTCAGAGGAGCCTCATGGACTCCAAGGCAGTGCTCACACTGGAGGGGCAGGACCCTAGATATTCTAAGAGTAGGAGTTGAAAATAGGAAGTAGTTTTAAGAAAATAGTTTAGAATCTTCAGGAGGGGGGGGAGGGGTAAATAGGAACAAACAAAGTCATTTTAATACTTAGAATTCACACAAAAGACCCCAACAATCAAACAGTAGACAGAAACAGGATCACAACCACTTCAAGCAAAGCTTCACATTGCCCAGATTCAACTTAGTTTACTAGTTGTTACTAGGTGAGTATATGAACATGTATTAAATAAAGAAATGGCATGCTGGGATCAGATTACCAATCAGAAAGTCACATACAAATGGGGAGCAGGGATTGGGAGCATGGAGATTATTAATCGGAAGTCTGTTAGGGGGGTCGAACACTTAAAACAGGGCAGAAAAACATGCCATTTGAGAAACAAGTAGGCATATGTCTAATTTACATATAAGCAAACATGTAGACATGCTGGAAGTAGGAAACGCATAGGTCTAGTTAAAACAGAAGTAAACATGCTGAAAGTGGAAAACACGTAGGGTCTAATTGAATGGCAGTAAACATGCTGATTAGGAACAATAAACATAAAGCACAAGGATATAATTAGATAAAAGTAGACATGCTGATAAAAGTAAACACACAAATTTAATCACATAGGGATAAAATGATAGCAGAAGTGGAGACATACCAGTTAAGAGATAGCAAGAGGAAAGTAAAACAAACAGGATCCAAGGGTCTAGCCTTAACTTTTAGCCGGATAGACTATGCAACAAACAAAGAGTAGGAAGATTGTGATGGAGGATAAGAGCAAGAACTTTTTGTGTGTTTCTCTATGTATGTGTGCGTGTGTGTTTAAAAAAATAGAGTGAGACTTATATAGCATTGAGTAGAGTAAAGTAAATAAGGTAAAGCAGTTTAAAAGTTTACAAATAAGGCAAAAAGAATAATTAGTCAATCAATTAGGCTTGACAGGGCCAATCAATAGGCAAAAAATCATGGGGTTATGGCCAAAATTAACACGGAATTGAGGTTTAAATAAGTTAGGTAATCCATTAGAGTCAGAATACCAAAATTCCGGCCAGTAACAAGGCAATTAGTCACACAAATAAGATAACACTAGTAAATTAGAGACCAATCTGGGGTTGGTAAGACAACCAGCCCATAAATTAAGTTTAATAGGAACAATTAAGGCAAGTAGCGCCAATTAGGAGTCCCAAAATAAGGAAAGTAGACAAAATTATAGGAAGTAATAGTTGACATCCAATTTTGTCCCTCCTTTCTTTCAAACTATTTCCTTAAGCTTCTAATATACTAATAATATAAAAGTAGGCATTTTATTATTTTCAACACAAATCGACTTATTTGTGATTATTATTAAAACTATTATTACTATTGTTATTTTTATATCATTGTTGTCATAATTATTATTATTATTATTATTATTATTATTATTATTATTATTATTATTATTAGTATTATTATTATTATTATTATTATTATTATTATTATTATTATCTTTCTTTCATATAAATTAATTTACTTATGTTAACCTAAATGTCTATTTATATTATTAGTATGTCCAAATTATTAAGATAAGGAAGCCCAAATTAAATTAATTTGAAGAAGGAAAAGGCCACGATTTTCGACCCAAACAAAGCCTTTCCTATCACCATATTTCAGTAGCTCATCACTCCTCAACAGTCCAATAACAAGTCTAATAGCCCAACTTTTTCATAATCTACATCTCCTAACCTCTCTCTATCTCTCTCAAAATAGACGGCCCATCCCCTTTCTTCTCTTGGACAAAGACAATTTTTTGTGTAAATGTCATAATCATATCTCTTTCTTCTTTGATTTTCCTATCAAAAGTCAAAGATAACGTGAAGGATTCTGCCAAAAGGGAGATATGATAATCAATCTTCACATTGGCTTAACAGCCCCAAAATTTCCTTTTAAATGAAAGTTCTTTCTTTTCTCATTTTCATGTCTCTGTCATTAATAAGTTTTTGCTTCTTCAAAACCACAATTCATCTTTCTTCTGCTATTATGGGGGGAGAACCATAAAATTTTCATTTAACTTACTATTCTCTTAATTTTTATGAATACTGTTCATTTAAATTCGTTTCATTTTATCAAAACCGATTCTACTTTCGATCTTGTTTGCAGAGTAGATCTAAAACCTCAAAAGCTCCCGTTCACTACCATGTGGAAGGTAATACTTCAGCCCCTTCCTAATCTTCTTTATGCTTATTTAGAAAGTCATGTCATATGTGTTGATGTTGGTTATTATCCTGTATTTGTAAATAATAATTCTGGAGAAAAGAAGAACGTTAGCGTATAAACATAAATATAAATGAAACAGTAATTAATTCGAGCCCACTGAATTCACAATGTGAATGCAATTTATAGCCAATGTTGAGTTCTTACTGAACGTTATTCAGTGTTGGTGTTTTTCTCCAACTGTTGCTGCCCGCCACCCTCCATGGTGGAGCATGCACTAGCTTGTTAGAGCAAGCACTTGGCCATGGTGGGAGGAGCACTAGGCGGCTGCTATTGCAACTGGTGGGGCAATACACGGATTGGAAAACATCCGTTACAAACACGGATTATATTACGTTAATATTCTTCGAAGCCGAAGCCGAAGCTGTAGCCGTAGCCGTAGCCGAAGCCGAGCCGAGCCGAGCGAGCGACGACGATGGCGACGGCGCGAGGCTTGCCTCCTTCCTAACTCTTTAAGAGCTACATGAAGTGCATTTGTATATAAACCCACCAAAATTCTTTTCCTCGACAATGTCTCATTAAAGAGAGAGGGAAAAAACTCAACAATCCCCCACATGAATGAGGAATGGATATATCACGGAACAATCAACCCTTAACCGTCTTTGGTTCTCATTGTTGTGTTTGTTTCAGCAATGAACACCGCCTGGTTTCATAAGTGCGTAGAGAATTGGCCTTGCAAAATTCTCCTTGAAGCGGCTAACACTTTACACTTACATAGGTGATTCCTAAACGTGTCATCCCGTAGATACACTATTTGATATACCACGTAAAAAGCCTTAATGCTTTATCCTTGGTACTGAACATTGTCTCACCGCGAGAATGGATCAAAATTTTTTGTTGACAATGTTAAACCGTCATTAATGACTTTGTTTGATCTCCTTGAACCTAGCCCCTTGATGATTTCTCAACTACCCCTCTAGTTAGGCCTTTTGTAAGTGGATCCGACACATTATCACTTGACTTTACATAGTCAATCGTGATAATTACTCTAGAGAGTAATTGCCTAACGGTTTTATGTCTTCATCGTATATGACGAGATTTACCGTTATACATAACGCTCCCAGCCCTTCCAATTGCCGCTTGGCTATCACAATGTATGCATATTGGTGCCAACGGTTTGGGCCAAAATGGAATGTCTTCCAAGAAATTTCGGAGTCATTCAGCTTTTTCACCGGCTTTATCTAAGGCTATGAACTCAACCTAGAGTGGGCAATACAAGTTTGTTTGGACGACTTCCAAGATACCGGTCCTCCACCAATAGTGAATACATATCCACTTGTGGACTTCGAATCAGTTGAACCGGTGATCCAATTTGCATCACAATATCCTTCAATCACCGCAGGATATTTACTGTAGTGCAAATCAAAGTTTTGGGTATGTTCTAAATATCCCAAAACTCGTTTCATTGCCATCCAATGAGATTGACCTGGATTGCTCGTGTATCGACTCAGTTTACTTATAGCACAAGCTATATCTGGTCGTGTACAATTCATAATGTACATTAAGCATCCCAGCACACGAGCATAATCCAATTGTAATATGCTTTGGCCTTTGTTCTTTGCTAATGCAAGATTCACGTCAATTGGAGTCTTTGCAACTTTAAACCCTAAGTGCTTGAACTTTTCAAGTACTATCTTTATATAATGATATTGTGACAATGCCAGACCTTGAGGAGTCTTTTGGATCTTAATCCCCAGACTTAAATCCGCAACTCCTAAGTCCTTCATATCAAACTTGCTAGTTAGCATACGCTTAGTCGCATTTATGTTGGCAATGTCATTACTCATTATCAGCATATCATCCATATATAGGCAAACAATGACTATGTGATTTGTAACATTTTTAATGTACACACATTTATCACATTCATTTATCTTAAACCCATTTGACAACATTGTTTGGTCAAATTTCGCATGCATGGTTTAGGTGCTTGTTTTAGTCCGTAGAGGGACTTAACAAGTCTACATACCTTCTTTTCTTTACCCGGAACCACAAACCCTTCAGGTTGTTCCATGTAGATTTCTTCCTCCAAATCTCCATTTAAGAAGGTTGTCTTTACGTCCATTTGATGAATTTCAAGACCATAAACTGAAGCTATAGCTACTAGCAGTCGTATGGACGTAATTCTCGTTACTGGAGAATATGTATCAAAGTAGTCAAGACCTTCTCGTTGTCTATACCCTTTGACAACAAGTCTTGCCTTAAATTTATCAATAGTGCCAGCATCTTTCATTTTTCTTTTAAAAATCCATTTACTACGCAAAGGTTTATTTCCAGGAGGAAGATCAACCAATTCCCATGTATGGTTGTTCAATATGGATTCTATTTCACTATTGACTGCCTCTTTCCAAAATAATGATTCCGAAGAAGACATAGCTTCTTTAAATGTTTGAGGCTCATTCTCCAATAAAAAAGTCACAAAATCTGGTCCAAATGAAGTAGGCGTTCTTTGATGTTTACTACGTCTTGGATCCTCCTGATTAAATGTACTTTCTTTTGTTTCTTCCCGAGGTCGTTTAGATCCTTCACCAATCGACTCGCATTCCTTTTTATACGGATATATATTTTCAAAGAACTCAGCATTATCTGATTCTATAATCGTATTATTATGAATGTCGGGATTTTCTGATTTATGAACCAGAAATCGATATGCTTTACTATTGGTCGCATATCCTATGAAAACACAATCAACGGTTTTCGGTCCTATTTTTACCCTTTTTGGGTTTAGGAACTTGCACTTTTGCCAACCACCCCCACACTTTCAAATAATTCAAGTTGGGCTTCCTTCCTTTCCATTTTTCATATGTAATGGATTGTGTTTTGCTATGGGGTACTCGATTTAGTATTCGGCTAGCCGTAAAAACGGCTTCCCTCCACAAGTTCTGTGGCAATCCAGAACTTATCAATAATGCGTTCATCATCTCCTTTAATGAACGATTCTTTCTTTCTGCAATCCCATTGGATTGGGGTGTGTAAGGGGCCGTTGTTTGATGAATAATTCCATATTCTAAAGATATTTGTTCAAAAGGAGATTCATATTCACCACCTCTATCACTTCTTATCATTTTGATTTTCTTGTTAAGTTGCATTTCAACTTCATTTTTGTATTGCTTGAATGCGTCTATTGCTTCATCGTTACTGTTAAGTAAGTAAACATAGCAATATCGAGTACTGTCATCAATAAAAGTTATGAAATACTTCTTTCCACCGCGAGATGGTATTGACTTCATGTCACAAATATCTGTGTGAATTAAGTCTAAAGGATTTGAATTCCTTTCAATCGACTTATAAGGATGTTTAACATACTTAGATTCCACACATATTTGACATTTTAATTTTTCGCATTCAAACTTAGGCAATACTTCCAAGTTAATCATTTTCCGCAAGGTTTTATAATTGACATGACCCAAACGTTCATGCCATAAATTATTTGACTCAAGTAAGTAAGAAGAAGCTGAAGTTTTATTATTGTTTTCGACAATTATTACATTCAGCTTGAAAAGGCCCTCAGTAAGGTAACCTTTTCCTACAAACTTTTCATTCTTACTTATGACTACCTTGTCGGATACAAAAACGCACTTGAAACCGTGCTTTATAAGAAGTCCAGTAGAGACTAAGTTCTTCCTAATTTCGGGAACATGAAGGATGTTGTTTAAAGTCATGACCTTGCCAGAAGTCATCTTGAGAAATATCTTCCCATATCCTTCAATTTTTGTTGTAGCAGCATTTCCCATAGAAAGTGTCTCTTTGGGTCCAGCAGAAGCATATGTAGAAAATGCTTCCCTCACAGCACAAACATGGCGAGTGGCTCCAAAATCAATCCACCACTCCTTAGGATTTCCTACTAGGTTGCATTCAGAAAGCATAGCACACAAGTCATCAACATCATCATGCTTTTCGACCATATTTGCTTGACCCCTTTTCTTGTCTTTCTTCGGAGCACGACACTCCGTAGATTTGTGTCAGGTTTTCCCACAGTTGTAGCAGTTTCCACTAAACCGCTTCTTGCTTGGGTTGTATTTCAGACCAGAAGCATTCTTTCTCTTTTTGTTATCTTCAACAATATTTGCTTCCATTATTGTTGAATTTCCACGGCCTCTCCTTTCAGCAACTTTATTGTCCTTTTCGATTCTCAACCGAACAATGAGATCTTCAAGGGACATCTCCTTTCGTCTGTGTTTCAAGTAGTTCTTGAAATCCTTCCACAAAGGAGGCAGTTTCTCAATAATTCCTGCAACTTGGAATGCTTCATTGATGACAAGACCTTCAATGAAAATTCCGTTAGTAAAAATACTACAAATTTTACTTTCAACATCAGTATTCATTTTATATATACCTTCAGCAAGTAGATCATGAATGATCACTTGCAATTCCCGGACTTGGGTAATAACAGACTTGCTATCTACCATTTTGTAGTCCAAAAATTTTGCGGCAACGAATTTCTTCATCCCGGCATCTTCAGTTTTGTATTTCTTTTCAAGCGCATTCGACAGTTCTTTTGACGTCTCCACATTACTGTAGACGTTATACAGATTATCCTCCAGTCCACTAAGAATATAATTCTTGCACAAAAAGTCAGAATGCTTCCACGCCTCAATCACGAGAAAGCTTTCATTCTCTGGAGTTTCATCGGGCAGATCAGGAACATCTTCCTTGATGAACATCTGTAGACATAAAGTAGTCAAGTAGAAGAACATCTTCTGCTGCCAGCGCTTGAAATCAATCCCGGAAAATTTTCCGGGTTTTTCTGCCGGTGCCAACGCAGGTGTTCTGCTTGTCGATGCGTTGGCAGTCATCATTGGAACAGCTTGGTTTCAGTTGTCATTTGCCATTTTTTTTCTGTGAAAAATGACACAAATAAACGTTTAATAAACGTTTAAAACTGGAGTAAAAAATCACGTAGATTTTAATCTCCAACAAAACGCCACGAAGGCTTTACTCTCCAAAATGGGAGTACACAAAACCACAAAGGTTTTAGTTTCCAGAATAATAAGAATAACACAAATACAGAAAATTAAAGATCATAAATTCCTTAAGCTTGTTAGTTGTTGGTTATTATCCTTGTTTGTAAATAATAATTCTGGAGAAAAGAAGAACGTTAGAGTACAAACGTAAATATAAATGAAACAGTAATTAATTCGAGCCCACTGAATTCACAGTGTTTCCTTAAGGAATTTAATCCCCTCCCAGTACCCAAGGTTATGGATTATTTCCTCCCAGGATAGAACAAATTACACACTGGTGTAGCAGTACTTCAAACCCAGTGTTTCAGCGAACACAAAGTTCGGCAGCAAATCACACTTACGGATGCTTTGTTTGTAGTTAAAAACAATGCACAATAAGGGAGGAGAACTCAGAAGTCGAATGGAAATTCTAAGAGGAAGGAATGCAATTTATAACCGATGTTGAGTTCTTACTGAACGTTTTTTAGTGTTGCAACTGGTGGGGCAATACACGGATTGGAAAACATCCGTTACAAACACGGATTATATTACGTTAATATTCACTATTAACAAATAAATTTGGTCCAAAAAATTAATCAATCAATCATTTTACCAAATCCCAATCCGAAGCCGAAGCCGAGCCGAGTGAGCAACGACGGCAACGGCGCGAGGCTTGCCTTCTTCCTAACTCTTTAAGAGCTACATGAATTGCATTTGTATATAAACCACCAAAATTCTTTTCCTCTACCAATGAGGGACAATGTCTCATTAAAGAGAGAGGGAAACTTAAAGTTTTACTCAAAAATTTCATTTTCCCTCTATTTCCCATTCACCCTCTTTTTAATACTTTTCCGTATTAAAAAGAAACTCAACAATATGTCTGTTCATCTTATCCGAGAAACCGAAAATAAAATCTGCTACATTTGAGTAGTTTCATATGAAGAAAAGCAATCTATTAGTCCCCATATTCTTTGTGTATGAATCTGTCTTCGAGTAATACAACAATTATCATGTAAAAAATTATAGTCGTTGCCGTTAGTCAAATATCGAAAACATGCTTTAGGTGTTTCTTACTTTTTTATTTGAAAAAATACTTGTGCTTAGAAGTTTTGCTCTTAAATATTTTTAACTCTTTCAAGCCCATGATTGTATGAAGAGCTACTGATTTTTCTTGTTGAAAGTACTATGTGTTGTAACATTTTAAAATCTTGTATGTTTGAGATATCTATCAGAATCTCATTTAGAAATTATATTCGTAGGGGACTAAATCTCATGCTTTATGTAATATTTTTATTGTTATTCACTTTGTGAGAATTAGGTTACAGTGATCATTTGTCTTATTTAATACATAATGTTTGTGAAGCTAAGTCAAAGTTCTATCAAGCTTGAACTTCTTCAATGGAACCATTTCTTATGCTTTTGTAAATCAATGATTAATACGAAGTTTTAAATAAAGTTATGATTCCCGTTTTATTTGACTAGATATAAATAGTAGTGATACATAGATGCATTTCTTAATTCCTTTACATGTGAACGCTATTTCTAATTTTGTATTTAGGAACACTGATTTTCCCTTTTACTCCAGCTGAGTAAATGTGCCATGTGAACATCTTTTGTGGTTTATTTTTGAACTTTCGTTGATATTAAAAACGCATCTCTTCTCTAATCTTCACTTTCTTTCACTTTCTTTGTTTTGCATGACACACAGGAGCGCTTTTGAGTCTTGCTTTAAAACTCGATGTCGTTGCCGACCAAGAACCCGCATCCATATCTTAGTTCGTGTCGCTCTCTCTTCTATTCCATCCGAACAAAAGAAGAAAAGAGAGGCGGGGGAAAAAATTATGAACAATCCTTTACAACTTCCTTTCGTTTATTTATTTATTTATGACAACTACGTTCTGCTCTTTGGTACATATTTTGAACTTGAATTATGTGGTATTTGTTTGACCCTTGGTTCAGACAATTAGGGTAGCATGGAATTAACTTAAAACTCGTTTGATGTTTTTGTCTTCTTTAGTTGGGGTAGTAATTAGAAAAGAAGATGAATCTAAAAAATGTTATCACTTAATAAAGGCAAACTTTTTTCATTTAATTAAATAGCAAACACCGTATGGCTTTTCATAACAGTCACTGCTTACCTCCCATTAATTTGGTGTATTCATTTAATGAGAAAAATTTTGATTTTTGAAGAGTCTATTTTTTAACACATCACCTTAGTCAATTAGGGGGAAGTGCACGGTTGGCCACTAACAACATATGTATTTACTTTTAAGTCACCGTTTAAAATGTCTTTAGTCTTTAGCCACTGCTTTAATAAATTTTAACTGCCCGGACGAAAATACCCTTCTGCTCATGTCCTTAACTTCAGGACTTCAGGACTATATGTCCTTAACTTTTGAATTTGAAACTCTAAGTTCAGGACTACAAGTCCTTAACTTTTTAACCTGTAACTCTAAGTTCAGGACTTCAGGACTACATGTCCTTAACTTTTGAACTTGGAACTCTAAGTTCAGGACTTCAAGGCTACATGTCCTTAACTTTTGAACTTGGAACTCAAACTTCAAGACCAAGTGTCCTTAACTTTTGAACTTGGAACTCAAACTTCAAGACCAAGTGTCCTTAACTTTTGAACTTGTAAGTCAAAGTTAAGGACCTATTGTCCTTAACTTTTGAACTTGTAACTGTAAGTTAAGCTGCTTGTTCTTAACTTTTGAACGTGTAACTGTAAGTTAAGGACTGTCTGTCCTTAACTTTTGAACTTGGAAATCAAAGTTAAGGACCTATTGTCCTTAACTTTTGAACTTGTAACTGTAAGTTAAGGACTGCTTGTCCTTAGCTTTTGAACGTGTAACTGTAAGTTAAGGACTGTCTGTCCTTAACCTTTGAACTTGGAAATCAAAGTTAAGGACCTATTGTCCTTAACTTTTGAACTTGTACTGTAAGTTCATGACCTATTGTCCTTAACTTTTGAGCTTGTTAGTCTAAGTTGAGGACCAAGTGTCCTTAACTATTGAACTTGTAATTCTAAGTTCAGGACCAAGTGTCCTTAACTTTTGAACTTGAACTCGAAGTTCAGGATCAAGTGTCCTTAACTTTTGAACTTGTAATTGTACGTTCAGGATCCATAACGTAGTAGAAAACCAAACGTTATTTGTATCTTTTCACAAAATAATAATAATAATAATTGCAATTTACATATAAGATTGATGTCAGATTTGACTTGGATGCAACATTGATAAGACAAATCTACATAACCTTTTCATTACTAGTCTGATGAAAATACAAGTGATGACGATTTAGCTGCTTGTCTTTATGAGCAAAAATAATTGCAATTATTTATGTATTTCTTAGTAGTCTGCACACGAGAAGATCTAATCTCTCCAATGATAATTATCACTATCCTTGAACATCACGGCCAGGCGAGATGGGAAGGGTGAGAAGTTCTTCGAGTTCCTTGCCAAGGCTACTGACGTTGAGAGAAGCAAGGGTTTGGGAAGAAAAGCAATGGAGGAAAGGGTACAATTGTCTTTTCATATTAATTTAAATAGGGTAGTGGCTTTTTTTGCTCAATATTAGAATTGCTGGATAAAAATAAATACCACCTTAAATAGTGGGTATCCCACGCCATTTTTACAGTCAATTAACCTAAGTTTGATCGGTTAACCATTTTTTAACGGATCTTTAAAAGGTGCCTTTACCCTTCCTTTTGAGATAACTAGAACCTTTACCTAGAATTTCCAAGGTTAAGTAGACCATAAAACAGAGTTAGCTTTAACCATTACTTAGTTAAAATTGGTGTCCTAATTCACCATTAAAATAATTAAAGTGGCGACTCTCTTAATTTAATTAAACTTCTAGAATTACCAATATGTTGTACTCTAATTTAACCCGGTTAAAATGGGGTATAACAGTAATCACCTCAGTAAACGAAGCACTTTCAAACCCTAGATAGTTTAGATAATCAATCAATTACTCAAGAATAACGGGCAAATATTGAAGCGAGCAATGAAATAATCAAACAAACTAAAAACGGGAACACAATCATGAAAGAATTAGTGGAAAAAGATAATCAAACACATAGGAATTTTTAGAAAAGTTTCGCAGAAACAGACGAAGTGGAACCCTAGTTTGGAAGAACATTAAAACCAGTCAATGATAGGAGAACATGAGATTTTAAAGAAAACTACCGTATAAAATCAAAACTGTTTCAGATCTACAAGGATCTTAACAGATTCAAAGTGCAAGAGATGAGGGTTTTTTAGAAAAGGGGACGAGGTGAGGGAAAAATCCAACCATAGCCACAAAGACAACAATACTCACAAACATTGATGAACAACATGCGAGTTCATAAGAAAACGAAGAGCGTAAGTCGACTCTGAGTCGAATCTCTTCGAGATTCCCTCAGAAACAGCAAGAATCGAACAACCAGTAGAGGGAATAAGCTAGATAGGGTAGCAAAACACTAAATAACCCCATATCTGGTCGGGGATCGAAGGGGTCTAGGAGGTTTAGGGGTGACGGCGCTAGGGTTAGGGATAGTTTCAGAGAGAACGGAGAAGAAGAGGGATTCAAGGGCAGCGAGGTTGGAGAATTGACTAGGGTTAGGGGGGTCTTTGGACTAAAAAGGAAAGGGGTAATGTGGACCGTTGATCTCAGAGATCAACGACCACAATTGGTTCTGGTTGGGGCGGGTTGGATTTAATTGGGCTAAGGTAGACGAATTGGGCTGGGGTGGAGGGGTTTAATTTGAATTGGCCTGGGGTCCGAATTTAAACTTAATAAAAGGGGCTATTTGTTAAATATCCAATTAATTAATAAAATAATTTGAAAAAATAGCTTATTAAATGATAAAAATAATTTTTATGCATGAAGGTGATTTAAAATAATTATTTAGCATTATGAAAATATAAAAAGTTATTTTCCGCATAGGTAATGTAATTATGCATATGGATGGGCTATTATTGCAAAATATGCAATTATAGTCTTAAAATGCAAATATTATTGTAGAAAAATGCAATTAAAAATATTTAAACACTTATATGAGCAAAAAATGATGAATTTAGATGATTAAGTCATCATAAAGTAATATTGTCACGACCCAAAATCCACTAAGGGTCGTGATGGCGCCGGACACCGTTGTCAGGCAAGCCAACTAAATTATCAACTAAATTCTCTTTTAATACCTTTGAAAATCTAAGAGTTTTCCTTCCATTTTTCATATATAAAACGATCTTTGTTTCAATTCAAATTAAGAAATAACTATTAATACACATCTTTCGAAAAACCATCCCAGAACCCGGTGTCACAAGTGCATGAGCAACTACCGATAAGGAAAATAAAATACAATATATGTCCGAAATACAGTGGACAGGGAATGAATAAATAAAGAACTGGAAGGGAACTACACTAGCTGCGGGTCGCCTCGAACAGTACAGCTCACCTAGTCCCCGGATCATCCGTGCTGCTATGCCCAGTAGGCCGCTAAAGTAACATATACCTGTGCAACAAAAATGCACAGAAGTGTAGTATGAGTACGTAATCAACGTGTACTCAGTGAGTATCCCGCCTAACCTCGAAGGGGTAGAGACGAGATGGTCAACCTGGACACTCACTAGCGGTCCAATAATAAGGTACTAGATATGTGAGGACATCATGAAATATATATATACAGTTTTAACTCACAAAGCTGAAAAATAGGCATTGCACCTTCAACAAGTAATAAAGCATTTTCAAGTTTTACTCTTCTTTATTTATCAATTTACATCAAGCCATGAAAGGCAATATCTTCATTTAAAATTTCTCATGCATCAATATACACAAATACCATGCGCAAATCATGTCGAGGCGACGGCCCGCTCCAACAGAAAAGAAATGTGCACTTGCCGAGGGTCGACAGCGAGCCTATAGATGCATCTATTTCCTCGCTCGCGAATTAATCATGCGACGCGGTCAACATAAAATAAACACATAGAGACACTCAGTCAAGAAGCCAACATGGGGCAATTATTCAAGGAAAAACAATTCTCTTTTAACAATTATTAAGAAGTAAGGTTAAATTCCCTTTTAGAAATTCACTTACAATTTCCATGTGACGTAAGCAAATTAAGCTATCAAGAGTTTACAATTAATCCAAGTATTCATGCTTTTGGGTCCTAGACTACCTGGACAATAGCATACTAGTAGCTACGCACGGACTCTCGTCACCTCGTGCGTACGTAGCCCCCACAAATAGGAGCACATAACCATATAATTTACCTATGGGGACATTTCCCCCTCACAAGGTTAGAAAGGAGACTCACCTCGCTCCGAAGATCCATAACCGGCATTCTACATTCTTCCGAAGGCTTGAACCGACGCACAATGCCCCAAAACTAGCCATTTAACGACAAACTAATGAGAACATGCTCAAATACTTGTTAACAATTCAAATTATACTAATTCCCAACTCTGCTTAGTGAAATGACCAAAATGCCCTCGGACCCACGTGCCCGGAATCCGAAATTTTTCGAAGATAAAGTTTACCCATGGCTTCACTAGCTCAAATATACAATTTACTCCTAATTCCATGCTCAAATTCGTGGCTAAATTCCAAGAATATTATTTTCTAGGTTTCCACCAAAAACCTCAATTTTTTACACTAATTTTCATGCTTAAATCCATACATAATTGATGTATTTAACTCAAAAGTGATGGGGATAACTTACCTTAACATAGATGACGAAGTTCCACTCTTTGGAGCTCCCCAAATCGCCCCAAGCCATGAACCAAATGAGAGAAATGACTCCATTCACGATTTAAAACAACCTGGCTGCCTCCAGGTGTTCCACTTCTGCGGTGCAATTTCCGCTTCTGCGGATGTCGCTTCTGCGACTTTTTAACCGCTTCTGCGGTTTGGGCAAAAAGGAAGTTGACCGCTTCTGCGGTCTGGGGGCCGCTTAAGCGGAACCGCTTCTGCAGTCCCTGGGCTGCTTCTGCGGTTTCCTTGGGCCTGACCCCTTC